GCCGGTTTGCTACCCTGCGCATGGCAGGGGATGGGAGTGATGAAAGATAGAGAGCAGATAGGGAAGAGAGATAAACGCAGCACATTTGGCAGCACACGCGCGCACACTCAGTCATAGTCCAGTCTTGTCTTTCGCGGTGTGTCATATTGCTGTTACAGCCGCTTGTTGAATTCCGTGTCGCGTAGGACTTTCAACAGAGCTTTTGTCGCCTTCTGTTGCAATGTCTTCTCTCGGGCACTTGACAGAATAGTGTCCACAGACATTTGTCTGTTGTCGATGCGCGCAAGAACGGACGCCAGTGACTGTCTCTGGATGTCATACAACGGACAGTCGCACAGGATGTGGTGTAGCGTCTCTTCGCAACGACAGGCATCGCAGAGAGCGTTGTCGGCCATTCCTATGACAAAGGAATAAGATTTTGTAAATGCCACCCCCAGCTATAAGCGATGAAGAAGGGTGGCTTCTCTTCGGTCGAGCTCAGTGGGAATGCAGATAGCCATCAAAGAGGACAGGTGGTATTGACGATTCGTCTCGTTGCTTGGTGGGCACCATAGTGAAAACATGATTTCACGCGCAAGTCGTCGGAGATTACTGACTGCATCGGTCCGCGAAAGTGGTACGGCTTCTTCTCGTGTTCCTTCAAGAGCTGCCCGGGCGGCAGTATCGGCCTGTTCGTTCCCTATGCCGCCGCAGTGACTTGGCAGCCACTGAAGCGTCACATGATGGCCTTTATCGTGTGAAGTATGGAGAAGGCATCGAATTTCTAAAACAAGCTGTTCGAACGGCCCGCGACACAGTGCTGAAAGCACAGATTGTAGGGCAGCCCTTGAGTCGCTGAAAATCGACCATTGTAGCGGTGGTTCCCGATTGACCACACCAAGTGCATCGCGCCAAGCCGCTAGTCCCGCTGCTGTAGATGCCGTGGAGTGGTCAGTCCTAAAGCTGATGGTAGCACTTCTTGCTGGGACAACTATTGCACCTGACGAACACTGGTGGTTCGTGGAGCCATCGGTATATATGTACACTGTCTGATTATTTCTTGTGCAAAAGAAGAAGAGACAGTTGTTTCAGCACGGGCGATGAAATCTCAGATTTCCTCCGGATCCCTGGTACACTAAGATGCACTGCTGGTCGAATAAGACACCAAAGGGGTATCGATGGTTTATATGCAGGAGTGAAGCCCGAGGGAAGTTTCTCGTTGTACTTCACAATAATTTTAGCGAACGATGTTTGGCGCCTCTCTGAAGGCAACAGTGTGTTGACAGGGAGCACGTGCGAAGTGTCTGATGTGCGTTATCAGGACTTCTACAACAATGTGAGTTTGTATCAGATAGTCGCTAGCAATTGCAATTGTTGCCTCTGTTGACGTACATCTGGGCAAACCAAGGCACACTCTCAGTGAACGGGAGGTGTCGGTAAAGTGAACATTTTGACAAGTTCTGCACCTTCGTTTCTCGGTGTTGTGTGTTTTTTTTTCATGATTTTCGAACTGTTGAATACGTAACATCTCCACCAACTGGCCATGTTAGTTTCGACAAGTGGTCATGTCGTTTTCAACCTATCAAAAAATCCTTGAACAGGTGTGTAGCTGGAGTGAAAGTTTGGACAAGCAGACTTGTCTTTGTCAAGGACATCCTTGAGAAAAGCAAGCATATACGCTTGTCGAAACGTTCGCTGTAGCGACACACCTGTTCAAGAATTTTACATCTTTTGAAGCTTCCATGTGTTCCTGAACATATGCTGTATTGGAACTTCAGGGCAAGAACTCACAACAGCAATAACTTGAAGGCAGCAATTCATAATATGATATATATGAATTGTTTGATATGTAAAGTTCTGTTTATGTTGAACAGCTTCATGGCAGTTGGTTCTCGCGTTCACTTTTTTATGCATAGTGTTCATCTCTTGTGTTGAATTATCGTAGGTGCGTGTTTTATCACTTATAATGTTGTGTGTTTGTTACTGCGAAGCATATTTAGTTATTTATTTTCTATTGCTTGTTGATAGTGGTTTACTACTTAAGTTATCGATAGCTGTAAGCTTTATTGCTGGTATTGTTTTTTAATGATATTCCCACTCCTGCTTGGGCCCGAGTAGGGCCAGCAGTATTTGTATAAATAAATAAATAAAAAATAATACTTGCAGTTTATTCTACAGTGACTTGCCCATCGTCCCGCCTTTTCATCGACGTAGGATCTGCTTTTCTGTTTTTTTTATAATTGAAGAGTGGTTTTCTGTATTTGGGACTGTACGTTTTAATCTGCACATCTCATCAATGACGTCGGTAATTTATGTCATACGCGGGTAAGCTGCCATTGCGACACACGTATGCTGCGGAAACGAAAAAAAAAAAAAGCACACTTATTCAATTTCTTTTTCACAGCCATGCACTTAGTGAGAAACATCCGACGGATTCCTTCAATGTGACGACGCTTTTGTTCTTTCTTTGTCCCCCTCTGTTTTATATGTCAGGGAATAGGTGTTCTCAATTTTCGTTCTGCCTAACTCTGGCCGAGTTTGAAGGCATATAGCATTACATTCCTTGTATATCTCAGCTGCTATCTAATACCAACGTCTGCGATATCCTTACCTCCAGACGCGGTTGCTAATGCGCAGAAGGGTACAGCTTCCGGGCGAGTTCAGCCTGCTAATGACAGGGTCTAGACACACGTTAGAACCGGAGCCCTTTGGATGCTCAGTGTAATGATAAAGAAAAAAAAAACACAATGCTGCGGGAACACTGGTAGCGCAATTTTCGGAGGTATAAAATACATTACAAACACACTAAATCTGATTAAAATTACGTAACCATTGTTATAATCCAGTATACCCGGATATATGTTTCTTTTAATCCCGTGTTTGTGCGGGGGGTTTCGAGAAAATATAACTGTCGCAGTTAGAGCACAGCACAAAATAGAGAATTCGCAAGTGATTTAGGGTCGGTTGGACAATAGCTCAGACAACTTATATGTATGTGTAGACACTTCATTTGTGTAAAATTTTGTTTGTACACTTTTGTGTTGAGTGGAGCGAACCTATAGCAACGAAGATGTACATACATTGAAGACGAGCAGGTGACCCTGGACCAGGACGAATTTTCCGGCAAGTAAGAGGTTTCTTTTTCTGAGAAATTCGTGCGGATTTACTTGTGGCTTCGTGCTACAAACGCGCGGTTGTCTTTCTTTTTCCTTGTCATGCCCAGGAATGAAAACACTGCACTTTGTGGGATGAGCGTAACTGCGATGAAAGAAAAAAAAATTAATAAAATAAGACCACTGGTTTTCGCAAGAAAGATCACAATCATTTTTATTTATTTTTTTTGTCTTGTGCATGCGACCTGGGTGCGGCTTGCAAATTCTCGGTCACCACCCAATTTACAGTTCTATGCCATATTAGTTACCTTGTTTTTCTTTCTAATTGGCTGCACCCAACTCTTTCTTTAGGGCAGCTTGTAGGAGGTATTCTTTACGTGAGCATATTTGTCGTTAATTTTGCTGATATTATAACGCTGTATACTGGAAGTTTCTAATAAATATTGCATCTCTCCTTGCTGTCCGCGCTGTACGGGACGCCTATTCGTGTCTATAGATCTATTGCAGCACATTAAAAAAAAAAACTTCTTCACTGCCTTTAATAACCTGGAGACGCAATTACGCGCCAAAAATGCGCATTTACACAATTGACATTATCGGTAACGTTGCGGCAGCCTGAACATTTTTAATTACGTGTTATTAGGAGAGAGAGAGAGAGAGATAAAGATACAAGGAAAGGCAGGGAGGTTAACCAGACGCACATCCGGTTTGCTACCCTGCACTGGGGAAGGGATAAAGGGGAGAAAAGAGGTTGCAGAAAGATGAGAAGGTACACACAATCACGAGCACACTCGGGGAGCACACACAGTCTACAGGCGGTCGCTCAGTTTTGTTGACTTAAGGTAAAGTAGCAGTGCTTTAGTTGCTTTCCGCGCAACTGAGGCAGATGCCCAAGGTCCTAGTATCTTCTGCACACAAATTGTTATTATGAGATGTTAGTGCATATATATAGCCCCGGCTACATATTATTTGCCCAGATAATAGAATTCGTGAAAGTCGCAGCAATCGGAAAAGCTACTTAAAGTAGCTTCTATGGAGAGTTGTTATAATTCCGTCTCGCCATAGAAACGAACACATATTTGCGAAGTCCCTTCAGATAATATGCACGAAAAACGACACGAAATACGGTCGAGTCAATTGACGCTCTTGTAAATATAAAATGCGCTCAATAGAGACTATGCTGCACTTCGTGAGTAGTGTGAGTTTAGCTCCTGCGGTTCAGAGCAGCGCCACCTTGAGTCGCGTAATTCGGTTCAGCCTTAACAGCTGGAGAGCGTGTCGTCGACGTAACTGCGATAACTACAGAACCGCGATCGCGAAAACCCCTGCCACGTTAGTATTGACTCACGCGTGACGTCATAACCTAACGCACGCGCCTGCGTATAGGCTACGTCACTTTCATTATTCGCGACAGGCATGATTCCGGCATCGTGACAGCTTGCGCGTCAGAGCACGGATTGCCCACTCCGCGAGCCACTTTATATTTTTTTTTTCCCCTCTTTCATTCACTTCTTCGACAACTCCTCGATAATCGCCAGCGGCGGTTTCGATACCTCTATCGACTAGTTGTCAAAGCGGCGCTTCGGAGGCCGTCACATGTATGGTTCGGCGTCCTCCAGAGTGTGGTTCTTCGCCGAGGTGAGCGCCCGAAGCAGCAATACTTGAGCAATACCCTCCACAGATCACCGTTTCGTACAAGGGGAAGTTCACTCGTGTTAAGCATGTGCCTCCTCCTCTCCCCGCGCCTTATAAAGCAGCCCCGTCACGTGCAGTAGAGAAAAGAAGGGTCCAAGCGCAATCGCACTGCCGACACGGCTCCGCGTTTCGACAGCGAAACTCTTTCGTTCGCGCGCGCGAAGGTCGGAGGCGGGAGAAACGGTGGAAAGGGAACACACGCACAGCGCACTTAGCGCGGGAATTGTATCTGCGTATCTTCGCGATTGCTCGCTCACTCTGTCGTCCGCCCGTTCAGCACCTTACCGTATGACTCCGGTAGCCACGGAAGAAAAAGACAAAGCACATCAGAGGTGCAAGGGTGTTTCGTTTTGCATTCTCCGCAGCGCCCCGCAAGTGAAACTTTGAAAACCCAAGAGAAAAGTGGGACACAAGTCTAGGACCACCGCGCACCTCTCGGAGGAACAACTGTTGCGGTGCGGCAGCCGCGGCTGTATACAGTGGCGCGTGGCCGTGGTCCAGTGTTTCGGCAGCACGGAACTTCGTCGTCATGGCCGTGCGCTACTTCCATGCGGCCGACTACTGCGTGCTCGTGGCCGTGCTGGGCCTCTCTTCGTTCATCGGGGTCTACTTCGCGTGGAAGGGCCGCCGCAGCACCAACAACACGGAGTTTCTCGTGGGAAACAAGCAGTTGCAGGTGAGCGACGATTGTCTCGTATGAGCTCTTCTAGAAAAGGTTGGGACTGTTTTTTTTTTTCTTTTAAAGAAGTATATGTGTAGTCTTCGGTATATTTTTTTTTTCACGCTTCCTGGTCAATGCGCGTAGTGTACTTTGTGTGTTTTGCATTAGACTAGCATTGCCGGTTTTATTGTATATTCATGTAGCTATCTGTAACGAGAATTACTGCTGCTTTGCGAATCGTGGGCCGTGTTACTGATTGCGTGCGCTTGTGTGTCGTGACAATCTGTAAGCTTACTGCATTATTGCTTCCCTGTGTACCGCGGACCGTGTTACTGGTCGCGTGTAAACTTTGTGTTCAAACTCTGCACTGTGCCACTCCTGTCCTGGCTGCCAAAGGGTGGCTGGCAGTATTGAATAAATAAAATAATAAATAAATAAATATTAGCTCACAGATAAAATACTTTGTGAGAATCACAACAGCGAAAACGACTACACAAAATAGTATACTCAGGGAGAGAGTTCTTGTAAGGCAGTGATATATATAAATCTATGACATATTTCATTCACACCAGTGGCGCCTAAACAACACATGATATTTTTCGGAACAACATTCTGGTGTATATGAAGCGCATGATTAGAAATATTCAACATTTATTAACTTCGTGAAATGTTTTACTAAGGAGATAGTGCTGACTTGCACGCTCTCTAATAGACAAGGCATGCAATTAAAAAATTTTTGAAGGTATTTAACTTTATATATATACAATGGTGTTCTACCACTTCGCTCGACGTCACAGATAAAAAAAGAGCATGGACCATGCATTAGGAGACACTTTCGTCATCCATCTCTCAGTTACTCTCTTACCACACGGGACTATCTATTTTTTTTTCTACTGCGATATTGACTTGCTCTTGATGCAGAGTACGTCGTGTGTGTGTGGTAGATGTGTGCAAAGGCCCGTGTGTGTGTGGTAGATGTGTACAAAGGCCACACTAAACACGTGCTTTCTGAAATTTGCGCACGACACTCACGCTCTTCCAGTTAACCGTTCGTGGGGCGAGATCACCTTTTGTTAGAATAAACGTGAAGCTCCTCCTTTCTGTCTTTCATGCACTTTTTTTCTAGTCTGAAAATCGGTTTATACAAAAAAAAAATAAATAAGGCAAGATATTGACTAAGACGACCAAAAGCCCTTGGCTCCACCGGTCTGCGCAGCCCAGAACACTTCGAGAGCACCACGCACAATAGTGCAGTTTATGATTGATATGTGGGGTTTAACGTTCCAAAACCACGGTATGATTATGAGAGACGCCGCAGCGGAGGGCTCTGTAAATTTCTACCACCTGGGGTTCCTTAACGTGCACCGAAAATGCAGCTCCTGCAGCCGGGATTCGATCCCGCGACCTTCGATTTATCAGTCGAGCGTCATAACCACTAAACCACCGCGGCGGGGCTGGTTGGTGAAAGAAAGGGAGGCGACTTGTGTACATGGAGAAACTGAAAAGTTGGCATCGCCTTCGCTTGCATTTTACAGTTTTAGAATATATTTGGAGAGCAGCTTTTGCCTGCAGCTGTCCTTCATCAAACTATTGATGAAAAATAAACATTATTATTATTATTATTATTATTATTATTATTATTATTATTATTATTATTATTATTATTTGATCACTAAACATAGAGTGAGTGCGCGCCTGGCTGTGTATTGCGTCAATGTGAAATGAATGAGTGCCTTCAGTGGGACTATTTTAGTGCTTATGACCTTTCGAATGTGATCTCTCTTGCTTATAATCACATATGCGTTCGCTTCTCGCTATACTTCGAAATCTTTTTGCGGGTTTGAGCAATGGGTTGTCGTATATATTTAACTTCAAATAGACAGATATTTTTTTTTTTTTGGAGCAGGCAGAAAGGTAAGATGTTTCATGCAAACAGAAGGAATACATTGGTTCTGTCGTCTATGATTAGGGACGAATGTTTAGGTCTATGTAAATTATCGGGACACTGAAGAATGCCGCCAAATGTGAGGGCGTGTGGTTATCTCCAGCAAAGTGCTGCCTGCAGTGTCCTCTCTGTTCACTTGAAAGGGTACAGACATGGAAGTTTCTGGTTCTCACCCCCCCCCCCTTTTTTTTTTCTTAAGACGATAGTCCTTTTTGGGGTATTTCGACGCAAAAATTTCGGTCTGCCTGTCTGTATATTCGCCTGTCTGTCTGTAGATTTGTCTGTTTGTCTGCAGTTACAATTGCCTTATGGGCACCAAACAATATCTTAAACGGCCAACTCAATCCGCAGCACCCACGAATATTGCTCAAGTTTCAGCGTTCGTACTTGTACGATTGTCAATTAAAAATCAATTATTGCGCATATCTGAGGCATCATGACAGCACGTAGATCTTTTGTGTGTGTGCTTTTATACCAGAGAAGGCATGCACAAGTGATTCTAAGGACCGTAGCGTTTATCAAGCTCCGCTGACAGCGCAACGCGATGCTCTAATAGGCAAGTGTTTCCGACGCTTTGCTAAGGTGACACGGTGGCGGCACCTGCCCGTCGCATTGCGTTCTACAACTTATCGCCCCCGAGACAGGCGCGCATCCTTCCTTTGTTTTCGAAGATAACTGCCAGATAGCGCTCGTGTCTAGCGTGCCTCGATGCGATCGTTCCCCTTCGCTGCACGGATCGAGACTCTAACGCAGCTCTTCCAGAATACAATTCACCAATTTTATTGCGCAGAACTTCAAATAAACGTTTTGTTCCCTCTCTCCACACGCAAGGCTATCGTCTTTCGACGACATTTGCGGTGGAACAGGTAGATACGGGGCCAATTTTTTCGTCTAGAGAAAAGTGAAGCTCCGAGAATCCTCGAGAATGTACTAATAAGCGTTAGTGCGCAATGAGAAATTGATTACAACGTATTTTCAAACGCTATTGTTGGTTCTTATTGTACCTTGGCGTCACGGCACGGTAGCTTCTCGTCACCTGCTCGAGAACGGTATCATTTTGACGCATGACGTCATCACAACTATTCATACTGGCGTGTGAAATTTCCAGAATTGATACTGGAGCATGGCGTGATACGCTAGGGTCGATGTCAGTGGGTGCGCCTTGCGAATATTAACTTCAATGTGAATATAAAACTCTCTGGGTCTCTTATGCATTCACATAATACGACTCTGAATCGAAAGTAGTTATCTCATTCTTCTCAGTCGATTTACTGATCCTTTCTCACCAACTATCGAAAGCTATCTGCACCACGACGATTGTTATAGCGCGAGCTTGGAATGACGACAAAAGGACAAGAAGACGAGCGCTGTGCTTTTGTCATCTTTCCAAGCTCGCGATATAACAATCGCCATTACCTAGCCCAAATTGCCACGCTATCTGCACCTTACGTGGTTTTGCACTGCCTCCAAGATTAGATATCTATGACCTAGTTTTCAATTGCCTCTGTGATCTGAACACATTTGACCAAGCTACGATGTCATATGATGAAGTCATTATGCGATGTTGAGTCACGTGATGTCACAGGGAAGTCATGATAATGCCATAATGACGTCAGAAATTTTAGAGAACTGTGACGTGATCACGCGATCTTTTTGCCACACTCGTTATCAGCACATCTGGACCCAGGCGACTCGGGACGCCGACACCAACGGTCCAATTTCGCGTTCTGTGAAGCATGTAAGGGTCTCGCCTTAAAATGTCTTATCAGCAATTTTCGAGCTTCACACTTGCTCAGTAGCTGCGCCTTTTCTGTACACAAGTTTACAGTATACAAAGCCGTCTCTATATATGCAGAAAACTTGTATGGCGGAGTAAGCTCATTTCTTTAAAGTGGTGTCCGTACCCCTTTAAGGGCACTAGTAGTACATTTGGAAACTGTTCTGAACAGTACTTTCAAACTGGTATAATTTTTGCCCAGAGGTTTCGGTGGCGTCTTTTCGACGCACTGCCACTCCGCGCTGTGATACGTAACACGAGGTAATATTTTTGCAGCTGGTTATTTGAGCTGTACTTAATGCCAGTCGTATTGTTGTAGTGAGAGAGAGAGAGAGAGAGAGAATTTAATGCGGAAAGGCAGGGAGGTTAACCAGAAAACATATCCGGTTTGCTACCCTGCACTGGGGAAGGGGTAAGGGGGAGACAAGAAAAAAAAAGGGGGGGGGAAAGGGAGGAAGAGAAGCACAAACACACACACACACACACTCGCACACAGTAGTGTCACAATCGTTCAACGAGGCGGGTCGCTCGCAGAAACTTCATCAGCGCCTTCGTTGCTTTCTGGCGTGAAGCTCGATCTTTCCGACATTCCAAGATTGACTGTTCAGAAAATGGCTGGTCGTCGAGGCGAGCAAACACTGCTGAGAGGGACTGTCGCTGAGAGCTGTACTGGGGGCACTGGCATAAGATATGTTCAATTGTTTCGTCATTGTCGCAATGGTCGCATGTAGCGCTGTCTCTCATTCCGATGCGGCAGGTAAAAGCGTTCGTGAAAGACACCCCAAGCCACATACGGCAGAGAAGGGTCGTCTCGGATCGGGGTAGGCCAGATGGAATAGTAAGTCGTAGGTATGGGTCCAGGCGGTCAAGACGGGTGTGGAGAAAACCGGGCGTATTCCACATAGACCTTGCGACATCCTGCGCAAGCGTATTAATCTTTGCTGCTGCGTCGCTTCTTGATAGTGGAATAGGTTCCATCACTCCATTTTCGTGTGCATTCTTAGCTGCATTGTCGGCATGTTCGTTACCGATGATGCCGCAATGGCCTGGTAACCACTGAAAAGATATGTCATGTCCTTCGTCTTTTAGGTGATGGTACAGTTGTCGTATTTCGAGCGCCAATTGGTCTTGAGGTCCACGACGTAGAGCATTTTGTAGACATTGGAGAGCTGGTTTCGAATCAGTAAAAATGCTCCATTTTTGTGGTGTCTCTTGGTCAATCCTGCGGAGTGCGCTGCGGAGTGCCGCGAGCTCCACGGCTGTCGATGTCGTCTTGTGTGACGTTCTGAACTG